GGAGAGGAGCGGGACGGGGAGGAGTACGGCCTTCAGGAGGAGGGGGGGGAGGAGGAGGAGGAGGAGAAGGGGCTGCTGGAGCAGGAGGAGGAAGAACAGGTGAGGGAAGGGGCCTCAGCACCCTCTGGCTGTGGCAAGGGCCAGCGCTGGCATCCTGCTCTCTCCTTCTCTCCCAGGTGCTGGCCCCGTGTCCCCTGACGGAGGAGGTCCTGAAGGAGGGCCTCTCTCTCCTCTGTAAGACCGGCAACGGCCTGGCCCACGCCTATGTGAAGTTTGAAGCCAAATACAAGTGAGTGTGCAACACCTGGACCCAGAAGGCCTCCTCCTCCCTGGGCATCTGTGTAGCCACGGAGCAGCTGCGCCATGAGGCCACTGGGGATGGACTGTGTGGGGCAGGAGTGTTTCCATGCCATGCTTTATGGGGTCCACTTTGTGCCTCAGTAGAGCTTGTTCATCCTCAGCCCTGAGCTAGCGCCTGCCTCCACCGTAGCCAAACACACTGGTGGGAACATCAGTGTCCCCCTAGGTTGAGGGGAACTTGCCCATCGCTCTGGATTGTGGTCTCCTAGGGGGACCTGAACAGGGTGACCTCCCTGCAGTCACTTGGAGAAATATCCATTAAGCATCTCTCCTGTTAACTGCTAACTTTTAAGGCATGCAAATGTAAGTACAGTGCCACAATGGCCTGGGGACAGTTTGGGGCCTCAGCCCCATCAATACACCCCCATAACCCTAGACCTACCTAACAGGCCTCAGTAAGACTGTCTTTCAGCAGCCTCATAGGTATCTCAACCAGCTTTTTCCCACTAGGAAACTCATTGCACACAGCCCTTGGTGTTGCCACTACTGTCTAACAGACACCACCAACCCTCACCAACTTACCCTCTTTTCTTCTCTGCTTCTGGCCTCTCCTGACAGGTACAGTTCAATGGGAATAAGTACACCGTGTGCCAGGAAAGCAGGTCCAATCTTAACATTCAGCCTTGTTCAGAGACTATTTGACCTGTCCCTATTGCCTGCCTTTTTCCTCCTTCTCTCCAGCAAGGCTTTCTAGGACAGCAGGGAAGTGGGAGGGGAGGATGCCCTCCCTCCAGTAGTGGTGAGGAGCAAGCTAAAAGCTGGTAGCAGGGGGAAATACAAGAGATGTTTTATTCATATCCTCCCTCACACAGGGACTTGACTGACATCAGCCTCCTCGAATGCTTCATTCACCTGCGGTACGTGGATTTGTCAGAGAACAAGCTGCAAGATTTGTCGCCACTGAGCAGCCTAACCCACCTGCTTTGGCTGAAGGTGGACAGGAATCTGCTTACCAGTGCCTGCATGCAGGAGCTGCCCTACCTCCAGATCATCAGCTTTGCTCACAACCGCATCAAGGATATGGAGGGTATTACTCACCCCCGCTTAGCCAACCTCAGCCTGAAAGGTGATACAGACCACCTGCCTTCATCCTTGTGCACATAGGACGCTCTCTTTGGGTGGGATTAACTCTCTCGTTGTTTCTTCCTCCTCTGGCACTCAGGAAATAAAATCCAGACAGCGCTGGGCCTGAGTCACGGCCAGTTGTTCAGCCTACAAATCCTGGAGCTGCGAGGAAACATGCTAGAGAGCACAGCAGGGCTCAATCTTCCCAAACTCAAGAACCTCTATCTGGTAAGGGATCAGACAGCTCGGGGAGTGGGACAGAGCTGCTGCAGAGCCTGGCACCTCCAGTCAGTCAGAGGTGGGGAGAAGGCTGTCCCCTTCAAAGCGGCATAGTTTTCATGCTAGCCCATTCTGTTCAGTCTTCTCAGCCCAACAGATGAACAGATTTCAGAAAGCTAAAGAGACAAAATCACTTATTTGCGGTAGCTCCTTCTACACTGTCTGCCCAGATAGCATGAAGGGAGTTAGTAGCCACTGACCAGTAATTCCTCTGCAGAGAGTGGAGGGGTTGGCGATGTTCAGTGCGTCGTGTTCTTCCCTCCCGACCTCCTACGGGAGAGGGATATTCTCTTCTGGCAGTGTTAGGCAAGCCGGTATTCTGTGTGTCCCAGGATCCCTGGAGGTCAGTGGGGAAAGCAACAGGTTTGCTCTGGGTGACAGGGGGAGGTGATGCCTCTTTCTCCTCTCTGATGGGCCTAATCAAATACTGGTTTAAAAACAGCGCAATTATATGATTCATGCCTTCAGCTGCCTAAAAAGAAACTGATTGAACATCACAGTGAAACTAAGATAGGAGAAGCAATCTCCTAATACCATAAACAATTGCTTCAGGGAACATTTCCTCCTAGAGATGCAAAGGAAGAAAGTATGTGTGGCTTAGTTCCATGCAACACACAGTGCTACAGCTTGCAAAGACTGCATAGTTGTCCTGAGTCACTACCTCTTAAAAAGCAATTCAAGATGATAAAGGCTTTGAAAAGCTACGTGGTTTCTTTTCATCAAGACTCCCTGGCAGAAAACACTGAGGAGACTGCTTGCTGAGATTGTCTGCAATTTTCTGGTAAAAAATGGAGATTTTAGGGCTAGAGGTGCTAGAAGAAGGGATGAAATGGATAAATCACTAGATATAATGCAGAATTTCAAAGTAAAACCAGTCACTTCAGTGAATGATTAGAGAAAAGCAAGCACTGCACCTATATTTAAAGAAGGGTCCCAGCATGACTGATGAATTTCTGAGCTGCATATATGAAGTGGGAAAATTGCAAGACATGATTATCAAAACTAGAACAACTGACTCCTTTCTCAAGAATCTTTGGGGCTTGAATTTGTCTGCCATGTCTGCCTGCTGACTAAATCATTTTGGAGGAGGGTCTCTCACAGTACTGCTTTACTTTCTGTGTAAAGATTTTGCTGTCACTTGAGCGATGGGTAGATGAAGCTGATGCCTCAAGGACAGGGTTCAAGACAAAGGGTTCAATTTAAAGGACCTGAACCAAATTTGGTTAATGTATGACACAGTTGCAGATGAAATTTAGCATTAAAAATGTTATACCTACTAGCAGGAAAACTACGAGCTGGCTGCGTGCCACGTGGCGCTTGTATCAGTTTGAGGAGCACTGCTGTCAGTAGGGCAGTGTTGGTTCCTGGTAATTGTGCAGCAGTGGTGACAACAGCTAGCTAGAGCAAGGTCAAGTGTGCAGGAAGGGGAAAGGGAATCACGGGGAACGTAATTATAGTAGCTTTCCATAAGAAATGGTGGCATCACATCTATGTGAACAACTAGTATCTAAAGTAAGGTGATGATGTGAGCATTTAATCAAAAGAGTCATATAGAATGTTCTTTGATTTTGGGGGCGGGGGGAAGGGGGAAGCCAACCCTGAAAAATATCCATTCTGCCTTTGTCCCGTTAGTGCTTGCAGGGCCAGAACTGTTAAAACTGTGCACATTGAAGCAATGAAGAAAGGGAGAGTGACGGGAGGTTACTATTCATTTTACAGACCAGTGGTCTGTGAGCTCCCCATCCTATTTCCCACACCAGCTCCTGATTTCCTCTGAGGTACTAATCCTTCCTGGTTGTTAAAACAGTTTCCATGACCTTTGCTACATCTCCGACTTTCCTCCTTTTGTCCTTGTGTTACCCTCTTTACTTGGCCCAGCTGGTCCAGACTTTTCCTTGTCCAGTTTCCATGGAGAGCCCTCCTTTTCTACAAAATGTCCTTATCCTGAGTGACCCAGTCCTAAACTGTTCTCTTATCCCACCAGTCCAACCTGTGCCCCTTTCATTAATCTCAGGCGTTGGCCGTGTCACTGCCTGGGTACCAACAAGGAACAGAGAGCACAACGTCACATCTCTCCCTGTTTCCTGTGCAGGTATCTGCACCCTCAGAGGCTGCAGCCCTGAGCCACAATCCCAAGTGGAGCCCTGTGCAGCTCCAGGCTGGAGAATGTGGCGGGGAAGGTTGTAGCTACCAGGGATGTTCCAAACTTGGCTGCACAAAGTGATGAGCAGCTTGGCCTCGCGTTGGTACTAGCACTGCGGTGAGCCCGGGCTTGGGCAGGAGACCTCTAGTGGTCTTTTCCAGCCGAAATCCCGCTGTGAAACTGTTGCTGAAATTCAGAGCTTCGTTTTTCCCTAACTCGTCACTCACATGACAGTGAAGTGAATGAAATTCAGTGATGGGAAATTTTGAACTGATGGGACACACTCTTTCTGCCGTGCAATTGTCAGATTTGTTGCAAGAAGGTGCACCTATGGATGGATAACAACAATTATACCTGGAAAAGCTTAAAATTAAACCAGCCAACAACCCACACCCCCCTGCAACCTCTCTCGGGAACATGCAGTCTGCTTCTGCTCCTAGAGGAGCAGAAGACGAGACTTCTTGGTAGTAGATTTCCCCAAGAGAAGCAGCTGGCAGTGCAAGATCCCTGACTACATGGCTGAGAGGGGCTGGTTATTCATCCTTTAAATACACTTTTTTCAGGCTTGGCCTGTGCTTTCCCCTCCATGCTCTCACTCACTGAGGCCTTAGTGACTAAAATTCGGCACTGCGATGGAAGGGGGTGCTGTGCTGGCAGTGGAGCATTCATCTAGGGTGGTTTTGTCTCAGCCACCAAGCGATGCTACAGGAAACACTTCTGGCCCTTGAATCTGAAGGTTTTGGTACAGCAAACTTTTGGTCCTTGAATCTGAATACTTAGAACCCCTTTGGCCAAGACCCTGAGCAACCTGATCTAGCTTCAGAGGAGGCTGAGTTATGAGTGGTAGGGAGTCTGAAGGGTAGAAAGGGATTTTTAGAGGCCAGAAATAACTGCTGTTCCCTCTCTTGTGTGTCCCCTTTTTCTTTCTGTCTTCCCGGGTGCTCAGGCCCAGAACGCCCTTCGGACCCTTGAAGGCCTTGAGGGGCTAGGACAGCTGACAACTCTGCACTTGCGTGACAACCAGCTTGAGACCCTGGATGGATTCTGTAGTAGCATGAAGTGCCTGCAGTACCTCAATCTACGGTGCGTCCTCCCTGCTCTGTGTTGGGACCAGAGACCCCCTTCATCAGGCTTTACTCCCATTTAGATCTTTAGGATTTTCTGGTTTCTTTGGAAGTGGAAGACCTGATGGGGATTGGTTGATCTTTACCATCCTTAACTGGTGTTCAGCACTTAGCTTTCTAGGAGTATAACAACCAGGGCCTTTCCTGAGCTTCTCAGAAAAGGTCTACCTCTCCAGTGATTCTCACCCCACCTCATACTTTTTATTGCTTGCCATAACTCCTTCAGATCCCTCTAACCGTGTTCCCTGTGTCCTGGACATGACTGCAAATGCCCTTTACTTCTCGGCATTTGCCCTACAGGGCGATGGCGATATCACATTATTCAATGGACTGTTTGAGGACAGAGAAATCCAGGGGAGATGTACTTTTTGTCCCTCAGTCTGAGGAGCTGCAGACAGATCTGGACCTTAGATCACAGGTCTGTGGTCTAAGGTCTACAGTCTATCATGCTGCTGCGTTTTGCTTTGTCTGTCTTGTCAGCTTACTGTTCCAAAGGGACCTCACTACTTGCATGTGTCTCTTTCCCCTGCTCTCTGTGCTCCCTCCTCTTCAGGAACAATGGGATCAGTAGCTTTCAGGAGGTGGCAAAACTGCAGATCCTGCCCATGCTGCAAGCACTGGTGCTGTTGGACAATCCATGCTCTGACGAACCCAATTACCGGCTGGAGGTCCTGGTCCTGCTGCCACACCTGCAACGCCTCGACAAGGAATTATTTGAGCAAGATGAGCGGGCAGAGGCGAACGAAATCCGTCAGAAAAGGCAGGAAGAAGAAAAGGTGAGAACAGCGCGGCGGGGGGAGGAGAAGGAAGTGAAGGGAAGGAGAGAGAGGATCAAACATGCTGATCAAGCCTCTCCTCCTCTAGATTACGTGAGGAGAAGGCTAAGGGAGGTCAACCCCAAGGGCAGAGGAGCCTGCAACAGAGGCCGGGGCTTCACAACCTGACCTGATTGTGATGTTCAGCATCACAACCCTACTGCCGTTCCCGACCCCACTAGCAGGACTGAGTGGTGAAAGGGGAAAAGAAGTCAGGCATGGAGTCACTTAACTTCTCCCTCTTTCCTTCTTCAGGAAATTGAAGGATCTCTCCAGGCTGATGCAACTGAGTGACCGCTGGTTTTAATACCTGTTCCCAGAGCCAGTTCAGGATTTGGAGATGCCTTCCCCGACATGTGAGGCTGGGGAAGTGAGAACTGCAGGTATCAGAGGTACTTTCACCTCATTTTGCACCTGGAGAAAAAGGAGGGCTACCGACCCTGGTCCTGGAAGCTGCCCCGAGGTACTGCAGTGTTTTTGTAGTCACTGCACTCATATGCTCCATTCTCAGTAGGCCCAAGAGGCAAAAGGGGAAAGGGGAGAGTTACAGGTTCTGTGGTTCAATTTATGTCTCCCAAAAATCCTACTAGATTTTCTGATTAGAATAAAAATAATTAATGAGCCTGGAGTGACTGAAATTGTTTATCCTGCACACCCACTCCTATTCCCTGGCTCTCTCACCCTCGTCTGTCTATGTCTATCCCCTGTCTGTCTCTCTCTCTTTCTCTCTCCATCCTCTACGTGCTGTTTGCAAAGCTTTGCTAAATCCTGACTCATCGCAGCTCTGGGTCACATGCTGCTGTCCCGGCCCTATCAGGGGCGTCTCCATCCTGCTGCTGCCGCCGCCGTTGGCTTAGAGGACACATCATCTCCCCTTGAGGTCCTGCATCCCTCCTCAGCTTCGTCCTCTCTCCTTTCTACCAGCACTTTCTCAATCTCTCGTTCACCCCTGTCCTAGGAAGGTAAGTGTCTCCCCACGGCCAGCACCCCCCTCACCGCATGCATGTTTCTGCTCCCCACCCTGTGCCCTCCAAAACCCACACGCACTTTGGGGTCCCTGCGGAGAAGGACCACAGTGAGCGGCATTAAAAACTAAACTCCCCTCACTTCCTTCCCCTGCTCCTCCCATCTCTTTCTCCTCACCCCCACCCTTCTCACTTTTCTTTCATATTTTAATTTCAGGTGCTCCCTCCTTCCCTACCCCCCCAGGCAAGCATCATTTCAGATGTGAATCTAGGGAATCGAAGGAGGGGGGCAACCGACAAGGATAGGTGGTGCTCCCAAGGGCATTGCCGGGAGGTGCTGCGGGATAGAGCTTGACCTGGGGGAGGAGGGTGGTGGTGGGGAGGAGGCAAAGCTCAGTTTGGGCACTGCTGGGGAAAGGACCCCAGCCTCATCGAAGACCGTCCCCCCAGTCTCCTGAGGTGTTGACATAAACACAGGCGGTCAGCCGGGTCCCAGGGAGAGGGAGGGAGGGAGGGAGGGAGAGAGGGAGGGAGGGAGGAGAGGGGATGTTTTCTTATCTGCACAGCCCCACACTACACAGGAGAGAGGGGAGGGGGGGCAGCAGGGAAGAGGAGGTGACAGTCAAGCGAGCAATAGCTGCATCAGCCACGACACTGCAGCAGTGCGGGCTTCCTGGGAGCAGTGCCCAGCCCGGGGGAATCGCAGCAGCACACGGGACTGGTGGTGGTGGTAGCGGCTGGGGGAAAAGGTCCTCGCCGGGCTGGCCTGACTGGTGGGGAGGGGGAATCGCTGCGGGGTGAACTCTGGTGAGGCGATGCCCTGGCGACACGCAGTGCCACGAAGCAGCGCCCACAGGAAGGCACTGCAGCAGTGCCCATCTCGCTGGGGTTGCCATGCCCAGCCTCCAGCCTGGCTCCTCTCTCCTCCTCGCTGTGGTCTACGGGCTCCCAGCTATGGCCCCGTCCCAATCCCTTATCCCGGCTTATCCGCCTCTGACCTCCTTTCAGGACAGTGCAGCTGATGCCAGGGATTTCAGGGTGGTTCTTTGTGCTGTCCAAAGGAGGGCAATCGCAGGGGGACACGGGGCAGCGACACAAGTGGAGAAAGGGGTGTGAAGAACTAGAGAGGAGATGAGATCGAGTGAGTGGTGGGGTGGGGCAGGCAAGGCTGGATTTGGGCTTGTCATCCAGCTTCCTCAGAGCTGGCCCCAACAGGGGCAGGTAGATGTGTGCGGAGGGATGTGACCATGGGCAACGTGACCACATAAGCAGAGAGGCACTGCATCTGGCACCGGGTCTGGCTGTCAAAGATCACTTTAACGGGGTCCTACTCCTCTCTCCCCCATGGAGGCTGTTGGGGCACAGCCAGGGCACTGCTGCAGAGGAAGATCACAGCCGGGCGGGCACGGCTCCTGCTCTGGAGGAAGTTCCCGCGGCGTGTGCCAGATGGCGTGAGGAGCGCTGCCAAAGCGGCTGATGGGGGATCCCAACCCAGATGGACATGGTTGGAGGGCCCTGCGCAGGCTCCAGAGAGCCCCCAGTGTCGCTGGCTGAAACTCCCCAGTACGGGAAGCTCTTGCTGAAACTTCAGAGCAGCGCCGTCTCCCTCAATGCTTGCTGCAATTCCCACCCACCCGAGGCAACGGGGTCCAGAGCCAACTCCGGCTTCCCCCAGCCTGCTCCTTAGCCCCCCTCAGTGCCCTGATGTCCTATTTACAACACCACCACCCCCGCACGCCCCCCAAGCCCCCATGCTGAGCCCCTGTGCTGGCCGTACCCCTGCCAGGGGTGACCATGGCCTGGTTCTGGCTGCAGGCCAGTGGGTGGGGCCCCCCCCCCCGGGCCGGGCCCCGTGCTGG